GTAACTTGGACGATTGATCGATCAACACAAAAATAACCCAGGCATGAGAGAGTAAAACCGGAATCTAAGGCAAAAATAATATATATCCGATTTGGATCAAAAATAATATTGCTAGTTATCAATGGTAAAATCGGGGGGGCATGATAATGCCAATTCCTATTCTAATAATGCAAAAAATAAACGTTTATGGGTCGCTCTTGGTCGCTGGTTGGAGATGGAAGAACCGGTTATAAGAAGAGATATGCGTCGTTACCTTCGGTCTAAATGGATAGATCTTAAATATGCTGTTGATTTTTAAAACAATGAATCACAAGACATTTTAAGAACCACCTCATATATTTCTCGAAAAGAGAAAGCTCATTTAATAATATCTGCCTGGTATAATCTCTGTTCGTTTAAAAAATTAGTAAAACTTCGCCATTTAACCATTTTGGAGTGTGTTACAGATATAGAAGATAGAACCTTAATACACTTGGTATTACTAAATAATCCAAGGGCGGTTATACAAGCAACGGATGCCGTAAACCATTTTTATTTTCACACCCTAAATAACCCTTCTCATCGTAGTGATGAATTCTGAAAAAATTTCATAGAACATTTTGGTACATACACACGAAATAACCTCCTTCCATTTACTAGTTCAAATACCGCAAGCTCTCATAATACTGCACATCAAGAATACGTTAACACTTTACTTCACAATCTTGGCCCATTATCAACCTCTGTCAATGAATTTGTACGAAAATTCTATGGAAATTTATATGAAAAACTAGAGAAGTTGGTGTAGGGTCTCTTTGCACCTCGACCTTTTGGAATCTTCCCGATGATAGCTATTAATTACAATACAACTAGCGATTACCATTGGGATGAACATGACGAACCAAATAGTTTATGCTGTTTGGTCACTCTCAGAGAATTTGAGGGAGGAGAATTATGTTTCCCTCGACTCCAGATCATAATACTGCTTCAGCCTGGACAAGTTGTGGCATTTTCCTTGCGTTTTCTACTCCACAGCAACTTCTCACTTACAAAAAGTATTCGCTATAGTATCGTGTACTTTGTACATGATACCTTTTTTCATAATCTACGAAAATTCGATGACGTATACGATGATTTGAAGGATAGGATTGAGAAAAATGCTGATGGGCATGATGTTCTTTTTATTAAACATCAAAATCTCAATAATGCTCAAGGTTTGAATTCCCGAACTATGTTTTTTAAACCGAAAAAAGAATAAATAACAATTCCTCCTTCATCAACGGATTGTAGAAGGGGTCATATTTCTTTGATACACGCTAGACATGGGGCAGAAGATCTGTTTCTAGATTTATAGAAATGTAATATATTTTTATATTTTTTATATCAATAAAGTGCTGAGTTAGTTGGTAAAAAAATAATAAAAACGATTAGTTGTCTACCATTTTCCTAATGCTATTTCCCTTTTTTCTCGCAAGCTCGAAAAAAGATATATAGTTAACTATTTCAGAAACTAAAAATCTGTTAACTAACTATATCTGGCTTCGAGCAAGAATTGCAAAAAGGCAGGATCACAATTGAGTAATCAGTATAAACAAATTGTTTACACATATGTGAATATATTTTATATTAATTTTTATTTATCTACTCCTGTCACAGGTAGAAAAATGAATCTGATATTTATTATAGTATACTTGTTACAAATTACTATAAATCGCTATAAATCGCTAAAAATAATATCATTTATTAAATATGCCTGGTAACATGGTTAAAATTATAATAGATGATATTTATAATAAAAGAGTACCTAAACCTAACAATCTCCATCCCGCTATAATATGAAACATGTTTTTAACTATCGACTTCAAATTGATAACTATTGCTATAAAAAAGTAGTTGAAATAAAAAAACAATATGATTATTTATCTATTATTAGGCCTCATGAAACACCTCAGCAATGGGCTAATCGTGTAAGAGGTCCTCTACAAGAACTACTTTCTAAGCGAGAATATAGTATTTATCATGTATTCTGCCTCTTCGCCTCATTTGGAGAAGGAATAACCAAGACATATTACAACCATGTCAATAGTGAGTTAATAGATATTTCATATGAATATCGCAGGCCTAGAGTTCACAAGAGTGAAATGGCTATTTGTTTCGAATGCTAGAAATTGGTGAAAATTACTAAAGTAAAACCGAAAAAAATATATTTTGATGAATGTCACAGATAGGGCTATGAAGTTGAGTCTCAAGATTTAATGAAGAATTATTAGAATTACTTTTGCTTCGAAGCTAAAACTGATGAGGTTCCTTTGGAACCAAATAAATCATATTCATTGACTAGTTCCAAGGTAACCACTCCTCCTATGCAATGTAGTGTAAGTGCGCCCAGCTCAATTAATACTAATAGACCTAGGGAGGGAAATACAAACAAATTATTTATCTCGTCTCTCTTTGCAAAACAAATTAATTTACTACCATCTCATCTTAATCTACCAAAAGATACTGTATTAAGATTGAAAGACGGAACAGAAATTACGATTGTTTAACTAATCTGACTGATCGATTCTAATATTGATAATATTAATATTTTTTATCTACTTCCAACACAGGTTAGAAAAATGTCGATGTGAATTAAAAATCTTTGAAGTATATATTTACTTATGATTTTCTCATCTATAGTCAGTAATATAATTAAGTGCTTTGAAAGTTTGTGAACAAACAAATCATCTCTCCTCAAAAATAAATTTTTTCAGAGTGAAGAGTTTTGTGAAATTTTATCTAAAAAATTTTCTAATTACTTTTTTTTCTTTTTTCGAATTTATGAGAAAATAGAGGATCTACAATTTGACTAATTCTATTCATTAGCTGGGGCACTTTTTTCCTTGCGCCTCTGCCTTGCCGCTATTTCCTTCTGCAAATTTAATAGTGTATCAAATCTTAGCCGAATTGCTAGAAGATCATCCTCTAGCCTACTGAGATCAAATACAACAAACTCACCTTTACGGAGGTAGCTATTAATAACCATGAATACACCCTTTACATTATTAGTATATCGGCCAGCTATCTTGGACACGTCTTGATAACTGCTTCTCCCATTATATATTACTAGAAGGGAGATATTCTTATAAATAATAATTAGTATATGATGATATTTCTGAGTAACATAGCATGGAGAAATATTTCGATGTCACCCATGTGTAAAAAATGGTATAATTCGATTTTGGATAGACTCGGGAGCAACACATACATCTTCAAAAATGATTACGGTGCTTCTCTTAGGTAAAAATGATTTCACACTAGGAATTTGTTCTGGTGATATGTAGCTGAATCTAATGTTTTCATAATAGGGCACTTTGGAATTACTTGCTATTATTCTATACATATATCTAACGAATACCCATTTCGGCTCATCAGGATAGTAACCGCAAACTATCAAATTATCGCATCTAATATATCTGGATCTTCCTTTTTGTCTTTTATATATATGTTCATATTTATCTCCAAGAACAAGATTTGCTAGTAAATTGGTCTTACCTGTACCACTTCTTCTGCTGACTATCATGCTAAAAGCCCATGTTATTGCTAGATATCCAATATTTTGGGATGATTCGTGCTTTGTGGCCTCGTCTATATCCATAAGGTAGAGTTTCATAGGTAGTAGTTCTTTTTTTTGGTTCTTTTGTATGACAGATTGGGAATCCATAACTCTGATTTCTATTTAAAGATATTTTATAATTCAGAATATTTTTTTTTTTATTAAGAAGTGAAATAAAAGAATATTTATAAGAGGATATGCGCTATAGGAAGTATATGATTAGTAATATCATTATTATGATGAAGACCGCATTTTGCTAAAAGAAGAAATTGGGTGATACTAAGGTTGTTTCAGGCCTAGTGATGCCGTTACCTTTCTCCAATCCACTAACACCTCTAATCACCCATTGGTCTTGCTGGATGCTTTCAAAATCCGCTTTGCTAAACAAGCATTAGTTTCTTGAAGGAGAAAATCTTTCTTGGATAATGCTTTTCGTGCTGAAACTAAATCATCCTTTATCTGTGTCAATTCATCTCTTTCTCTAGACGGAGTTTTTTCTAAGTCCAATTTTGCTAAAAATAGGTTAGTATTTTCTAGTTCGGATTCATTCTTGAGAGATTCCATTTTTGATAACTCATCTTGTGCTAAAGAAAGATTCTGCTCCAATTCTTTTACTCTTAATCGGAGAGCCTGTATCTCTTCCAATTTTGCAGTGATCTCGCTTTTAGCACTTGTAAGAGAAATATCTTTGTGAGTAATCTGATTTTTGAGTTCTCTCACCTCATTTTCAAGCTGGCATACACGCTCTGAAAAGCTCTCATTGTTTTTTATCAAGAGATTGCATCTAGTATCAAGCTGAATACTCGAGCTTAAAGCAATATTGAGATCATGCTTTGTACAAGTAAATTGATTCTCAAGTTCTGTTTGGCTGTACGGATATCGATTAGATGGTGAATCCCCAAGTTTATTGCCAAATACTAGAGCTACCTCACTATTTATCTCATTTAGCATATGCATATTTGCCATATAAATTTACCCTTTTGTTCTCATAAATTCAAAAAAAGAAATTTTAGTAATTAATTCAAAGTTCATCTACTTTCTGCCCTTTTTTCATTCCATCATTTCACCTATTTTCTCATAAATTTGAAAATATAAAAAAAAGAAATCAGAAAAAATGTTTTTTTCCTTCGAATATGGAGAAAGAGAATCAGAATCAAATCGATATCAAACAAATAATAAACCAGTTTAAGACAAATATGATATTTAAACTATATATATCTTAAACCTATTTTTATTTGGATCATGGTTATAGCAAGCTACATGATAAAAGAAGCGAATTTCCTATATAAAGAACAAAGAGGAAAAGACAGTCACGGTCATTGGAAATTTTGTATGTATAGATAATGGCGAACCTGAACCAA